GCCAAAAGAACTCTGCCTTTCTTTTTCCTCGTTCCCTAGTCAAATTCCTCACAAAACACCTTATTCCTTACTTAAACACTTTCTTTTCTCATAAACCAAGCCTAATTTCTCTTAATGCTAAACTCATGTTGATTTTGCTCCCATGCCACATGCCACTCATGATGAGCTAAAAGACTATCTGAAAGCATGCCAAAATTATCTGTAAGTCACCATTATTTTGATCGGTGAAGATAGCCAAAATATCTCCTAAGGTTTTGCTACCCTTTCGAGGTATTTTGGGGCTTAATTTTCGAACCTAGGCAAAAGGGTTTGGGTTCCATTGATGAATTCTTGATATAAGTTGGCAATTTTTAATTTGTGTTCTAATGGTAAATTCTTGATTTGGGTTCTAATGATGAATTCTTGATATAAGTTTTAATGGGTAATTCTTGATTTGATCAAAATCTGATCCTACACTTTTCTGCACTCCACAGAGTTTGTTTATTCTAGTTCTCTAACAAGCTGTGCACAATAGAGATACTATACACTCATTTAATCAATAGAAACAGATGAAATATTCCTATAATTATAATGTTCTTAGGAGCATAGACGAATCAAATTCTGGTTTTTTTTTTCCTTGAAATCAATTAGGAGCAGAAATTCTGGTAAATTCTTGTAGTCTCATTTTTTCTTTTTCGTTTTTTTTCTTGCATTGCAGGTTTTTAATGGAGTAATCTTGTTCGTTTATGTCAGTCTCGAAGTTGGACCATCTGCTGTACTTTGGATTTAACATCTTTGATGGTGTTTGTTTTGCTGTCATGGAACTTCTCATCCAAGTGATCATGTTTGTAGTACTTTTTGGGTTGGATATAAACTTTTATGCTTAGATGATAGTTCTTGGGGCCAACTTGTACAATTTATTGAAGTTAATTATCAATTTAAGGACCACCTACTCTTAAGCAATTCTATGTGAAAAGGTTATTTGAACACATGGCCAACCTCTTTATCTCAAAGCTTGTTCCATTTGATATATGACGGTTTATATCATTCAGTTTTATTTTTAATTAATATTTTCCAAAATGATCGTACCATACAATGCATAATTTCTCATTGATAAACAGTTATAGGTACTGCTTTCCATTCTTTTTGTTTTTTCTCTATTGAATTGAATATTCCTTTTGGCCGTTGTGCTTTTCTTGTTTCTGCACGAAGGAGGTGTGGCCGTGAAAGGAAGTTAGCCATCTTATAATATACACATTGTAAAACTTAACTTGCTTCCGATTTTAGTGAGCAGGTTGCAGCAACCTGTAATGCCTCCAAATTTTCATTTTTTCCAGTTTGTGCTAAGTCTAATGTCCTTCTTCAGGAACCTCTTCACAGCAGTCTAGAAACATTTGAATAGATAATTAAGAACAATTTATTGACACTTGAAAATTGAGTCTCGTTTTACATGTACATGATGAAAAAAAAAAAAAAACCTAAATACTTCCTTGTAGTGGAAGGAACAATATCCGAGTTCGACCCAAAAAGAACACACACATCTTGTGTTGTTACAGACACCTTACTAGCCATGTCCTAGCTCTTTCCAAGAAATAGGTGGAATCATTGGAGCTCGAAACATCATCCAAAAAACTCATCATCCTGACAAGACAAAGTAAAGGGAGAAGAAATAAAAATTTATCTGTGGCGAAGATCTATTATTCATTTCATTAACAAAATAATATAAGTTTTGTGAATCACTATAATTACCTGTGACGAAGAACTATTATCCATGCCATTAAAAGCATCTTTGTCAACGATTGAAGATCTATCATGGTCAAAGATAACATCATAAAGTTACACATGAGGTTAATACATAATAATAAGAAAGGAAAAATACAAATAAGTTTGCATTCTTACGATTTTTGAAGCATAGGACAGTTCCTTTTGTCGTGTGTTTGTCCATATTTTCCACACCCATTACAACGCCGACCTTTGTATTTTTCTCTCGCCAACTCCTTTCTGCCCTTAAGTCTTTTCCCGCTTCCTTTTGCTTTAACAGGATCTGGTTCATTTAAACTAGTTTCAAAATCAATACTTCTTCTTGCAGAAGGTAGTACTTCTTCGGCACCATTAAGCAATGGTTTAATCCTCTCAATCAATGAATCCAATGCCTCACAGAAGATCTGACTAGCCTCATCACTTAAGATGACTTTATCAATCACATGTGAATATCGTTGGAATAAAGCACTGCGCTTTCCTATTAAGGAGTTGTCAACAAATATCTCAACACCATCATTGTCTACCACAAGATCAGATCTAGCAGATCTAGTCCATCTCTTCAAAATATATTGATCTGGCAATTCATGAAGCTGACGTATTTTGTGCAAATATGCCAAAGTATGGCTGCATGGGATTCCCAAACTCTCAAACATATGACAGCTACATGATGCAAAATCTGCATATTTGTCATAAACAATCAGCCGGTTTCTTTTTTTCTTTTTGCCATCCATATGTACAACTTTATATGTGCAGTGAGTGGCATTCTCTTCTGTAAGCTCAACATTGTTGCAATAACTCTCCCACAACTGATCTTGAAATTTATAGAAGTAAGTACGTGTGTATATATTAGCCATTTGTCTATCCATCATTATGGGGCACTTAGTTTTTGCCTTCTCATTGATATCAGTGTGATCTGCCATCAATTCCAAGTGTCGTTGGTGTAAAAGTCCTCTATTAAATTGAACCATAAAGTCCACCAAGGAATTGTGTTTTGATACATACCTCTTGAAAAATGCATGCCCACTTTCTGCTCGCTGACTACTAGACATTCCACATGAGAAAATGTGGTTCACATAAGCTGGAACCCATTTAGACCGAATATTAAATATTGATTGCAACCATGTATCTTCATTTAACCCGCTGTTCTCAACAATACTCTTCCATCTCAAGTCAAACTCATCTCTACTCTCAGAATCCCAAACGCATTCTCTAAATTGTTGATAGTGAAGAATACACTCGGGCTTGTCAGAGAATTTATTCAAAATATGCCAGCTACAATACCTGTGAAATGTGTTTGGAAGAGCTTCTGAAATGGCTTTTGTCATTGCGGGATCCTGATCAGTAATAATAATTTTCGGAGCATCACCTGGCATAGCCCTCAAAAATTCTCTAAACAACCAAATGAAGGAGTCTGCAGTCTCGTCACTTAAGAATGCCCCAGAAAAAATAATTGTCTGACCATGGTTGTTTACTCCCATAATTGGTGCAAAGATCATACAATATCGATTGGTGTTGTAGGTGGTGTCGAAGATAACTGCATCACCATAAAACTTGTACGATTGCCTAGAGATTGCATCAGCCCAAAAACATCGAGTAATCTTGTGTTCAATATTGGTCTCAACCTTGAATATGAACCCTGGATTTTTTTCTTGCTCATTCATGAAATGATCAAACAACATTTCTCCATCATGACCCTTGATCTTCATACGTCTATCTCTATTGGAGTTGTATATATCTTGTTGAGTAAAACCAACATTTTCAATGCCTCCTGCTTGAGTTGCTAGAATGTCATACTGTCCACCCTTTCCTTGGACTACTAGCACCTAGCATTGAAATTTCACAAAGCCAAAAATTACAGCCAAGACAACAACATCATGGAAAACAATGAATATGGTCTCAAGCACTATAACAACGGTCAACTGAACATTAAAGTAAAAGGATCACACATAAATTTTTAGACATTATAAGCCAATCGTAGTAGGAGTATGTAAGTCCAGATAATCAAATAAAACTTTTTAGACTTTTACCCTGCATGCCATACACCCGCTTACTCAGCTGAACTGTTCTAGGGAGGGATGGAACATAAACACGCGCGCACACACATGAAGAGTGCAAGAAGTGAAAACTACTGTAAATTGATAGTTAATGTGAAGCAGCAAAGGCTTAGTGCTAAATGTAGAGGTTGGAAAACCTACTCTACCGCAAATTAATTATGTTAGTGAAGGCTGACAGTTTTGGCTTCCAATTCTCTGTAAACCAAATTTCACATCTTAAGGACCACAAAACTAAATAATTCTATGAGGCATACAGCCCACGCATTATTTAATATCAGAATATGAAATTGTCCCTGTATTTTTTTTTCTCTTCATGCCCATTAGAACTCAATTCAGATGTCATACACATGATATTCCAAAATTTTAAAAAACCATTACAAATCTGGAGGAGTGATCTTCAAACCCATTAAAACCATATCAGAACTCATCCCAGAAATCCAAATCGAAGAACCATGGCTCAGATATTGAAAGAATCAGAACCAATGATAACATACCTCTGTCGCAGACGATGGTGGGTCTTCTTCTTCAATTGACGATGGTGGGTCTTCTTCTTCAACTGACGATGGTGAGTCTTCTTCTTCACGTCGTTTGGTCTGCGTGAAAAGTCTCCAAGCGTTGGAGGAAGAAGAAAGACGTTTGGTTTCCCAGCGTACGTCATTCCCAAGCGTAAGTGGAGTTTGTGGTGGGTCAGGAGTTTTCAAACGGGTTAAAACATTTAAAAGAATCACAGCCACACAAGCTCATTAATAGAGATCCAACGGTTGAGCGCCCCATCCCTCAAATAACACTATTTGAGGGATCCCTCAACTGAAGGGGATTGTATATATATATAACTATATATATATATATATATATTTTTTTTTTTTCCAGAAAACGTTGGGTAAGTTAAAATAATATGAATCTTTATATGGATTTTTATATCTGTTTTTTTCTATAGATTTGTATGGAAAATACGGGTCATGGGAAAATTTGTGATAATCATGGAATTAGAGTCAATTTGGGGTCGTTGAATTGGGTCTGTCATCACACTGGTAGGTAGATGTATTTGCAAATGGAATAGGTAATTTTCACTTTAATGCATACTGAGTTTTAGAGTTTGATGCATAAAGTTTTTTATCAATTGCGTACACAAAATTAATTTAGAGAGCTTTAGTTTTTAAACACAATATAGTTTACTAATTTGGAAGATAAGAATACAATTTCATCTAATTAGCATAAGGCTAAAGACAAAATGTAGTACCAAATTTTACAAAAATATCATTAAAAAATATCAAAATTACACACAATGCCACTCCTTCTAAGGCAAGCATACTATGCCACATGTCCATATCTAGCCAACCATCACCGCCAGAATCCCGCCGCCGGTCACCACCATTGGAATCCCGTCATCGGCCACCTGCCAACAGTGGCGGACCTGTGCAGGCGCAAGGAGGTGCACCTGCACCTCTGGTGGTCGGAAAACTCCATTACAGCTACTGGAGTTGCACCTCTACTGGACGCACACAACCTGTTTGACGAAATGCCCAAACCACTAGCCTAAACTGATTAGAGAGTTGTTGAATAAGAAAATCGGTTGTTTATAGTTAGTATGCATGGATGAGACTGTAGGTTGCTTTCTTTGATCTTATCTGCTCATGAATGGTCTGCTTAAGCCAATAAGATCAAAAAGGCTATCTCTGAGTGGCTAAAAATAAGGCGGCACTTTCCTTCAAGCAGGAACGATGCAAAGTTTGCGCACTTGTTTTTTTTTAAACGAAGCCTGGCCAAAACGACGTTGTTTTGGACCAGGGTTTTTAAAAAAAGAAAGGGGAAAAAAGAAAAGAAAGGGGAACTGCTGGCCATTTCGTGGGCTTTTCAAAGGGCTTGTATAATTCCTTACTTAATTGGGTTTTAATTAGGAATTCTCTTTATTCAATTGGGTTTTGGGAATTCCTTATTTAAGTGGGATTAAGAATTCTCTTCATAAAAGACCAATTTAACATTACCCAATTTCATCAAAGTGTGAATGCATATTTATTTTTTTCTTGAGCAAACGCCAATTTTGTTTATTCTTTTTTTGTTTTTTGTTTTTTGTTTTTTTGTTTTTTTGTTTTTTAAATAATTTTTTTTGCTTATTTAGCTCTCTCTTTATTAGTAAGATTAGTAGCAAACTCGAGAAAGAGGCTTAGTTGTCTTTTTTAATTAATTATTAATAACATTAGTATTGTTTAAATTATAAGGATGTTTAGTTGTCTTTTTATTTTTATTTTGAGCTCTTAACTTTTTAAAATTGCACCTCCGCTGAAAAATTCTTGGATCCGCCGTTGCCTGCCAACACCACCGCCGGCCACTTGCCAACACCACCGTCGACCACCTGCCACCACCACCGTTGGCCGCCACCGCCTGTAGGGGACCAACTCCGTTGCCCTTTATTCACCTTTAAAAAAAAGATTTTGTGTCATTGAATGGACTCGAACCTTGACCCTCAAAGGAGGAAGACTCACTCACAAATCACTACGCCAAACCTGATTTTGTAATATTTATTCAGTTATACAATATTTATATAAACAATCAACGGTTAAAAAAAAAAAATCATTTCAACACTTGTTCACGTAAAAACTGCAAATAAAAACAGAAACTGCAACAAAAATACAATGTAGATATCAATTATGTTAAAAAAAACAAAAACGAAAATGAAAACAGCTACAACAATTGTAATTAAATGAAAACTGCAATGCAGTTTCCAGTTTCCAGTTTCCAAAAGTCCAATTTTGAGTTCCCTTGCTCTTAGCTAGTTCTACTCTTCTCTTGCCCACTCAATTCCTCATATGGGTAGTCTCTACTCTTCAAATTGGTGAGGTTGAAGGCCAAGGAAAGAGCAAAAATCCAATTGTAATTACCAAAACTGCAATACAATTTCCGAAACTGCAATGTAGTTTGTGCAAAACTACAATGCAGAACCTGTATAAAATTTTACTGAACTAAAGCTTAAATGGTATTGCGAAATATCATATGACAGTGATGACATCAACCATATCCAAATCAAGACAAATGCATAGTAAGTGAGCTCTATAATAAGAAGTTGCAGTTAAAAAACAGTAATTCAATAGCATCAATTATATACTACGTAAAAAACTGTAATTCAATGAGAAAGTTGGGGTGTGAAGGGCACCAACCTGGGCCAATCAATTGTAATTACCAACTCATATACACAACTAAAATGGCACCTGTGGGTAGTGTCCAGCAGCATATCCAGCAAATTGTGAAAATAGCCCTTTGTCATTAAACTCATCTTTGTTGTCTCTTCCACCGTCCATCTTACTTCAACTTGTAACTAATGCACATATAAAAATCATAATTCAAAAAATCAATTGGGAAACCAAGAACCAAAAGTAATCAAATAGAAACAAGCACATTAACAGCCACTAAGCAACCCACATCATATCATAGTCTGAATGGTGCCCGATATATGCAAAGTTCAATAGTTTAACAGAGTCCAACCAAGAAAAGCACAGAGACTATGTTGCAGAGAAGATTCACAAAATTAGCCAAACACATCGGTCATTAGAGAAAGGGCTTGGGGCATTATTTCATCAAAGACCATGATCTTTTCTTCAGCTGTGGCAGTTTCAAGTTTCTGAAACAAATTGAATGCTTTAGAAAGATTATGCTGCTGAAGCTGTTGTGGATTACTATTTTGTTGCTGGTGTAAATGAGCCATTTTTAACTACAAATAAACACACTCTCATAAGCTAAAGGACAATGAACTTTTTGATAACATGTGGAAGCACGGAGGGGAGAAACACCACCATATCGACTACAACTCCAAAATTGCAATGTAGTTTCCAAAATTGCAATTCAGTTTCCAAGACTGCAATGCAGTTTGTATGCAAAATCTGTATAAAATTTCACTGAACTAAAGTTTAAATACTATTGCAAAATGGTACTTAAAATATTATATGATAGTGATGGCATCAACCATTTCCAAAACTGCAATATGATGCGTACTTCTAAGGCTGCATTGCTCAAAAGCGATCAGGTTCCTAAAGAGTGAATCTCATGTCAAGTGAATGTCGAATGGTGGAATTCTGATTATTATCCCTTGACGAAAGTTATGTTCAACAATGGTCCTCCGACAACCCTTTTTCAAACTCAATTCCAGCCTCACTTTTAGAGACCACTCCAACCTTCGCAGAACAAAAATAAACAACTTCAAGACTTTGATAATGCTTTTTCTTCTTCTTTTTTCCCCCACAATTCACCAACAATTCACCATGTTCTGGTTTGCATCAATTAACCTCACGTTATCTGAACTATTTCAAAACAAACCACCACTTCAAAAATTCAATTTCGATTGACAAAAATTGATCACATGCATAAATTATTGATAAACTAAGAAATTGATTAACCTGATAGGGGATATATCAAGTTCACATGGTATCAGAGCGATCCTCTTGAGTTGCTGCTTGTTCTTGATAGGAATTAGGAGTTAGAGCCAAAACTGTAAAACAGTTTTGGATAGTTAGTTAGGCACGTGTCAAGTGTTAGTTGGGGAATCTGTTACAATTACTGTTGTATCCTTGAAGGGGGCTTTATTACCAATTTGGGGAGCTATTGTACGTGTTGTTGAGAAATATACAGAAAACATTCTTTGGGTTCCCTCTGTTCTTGGTTAATGTCTAAGGTTGAAAGATAGAGTCCTATCATTGGTATCAGAGCCATTGATCCTCTAAGCTGTTCCTTTAGTATATGACCCGTGCTCGAGTTCGTACTCGTGCGTTAACAATGGACGCTCGTGTTGCTGCGCTGGAAACCTCTAATTCCAAAAACCAAGTCATTTTGGAAACAATTCAGCGTCTTCTTGAGGATAAGTTTGCTTCCATCGACAAACGCCTCGATTCATTTGATTCTCGTCGTGAGGGTTTTGCTCAGCCATTCTCGCCTCCATCTGATGACGACGACGGTGACGGCTCTCAGTGGCGCGGAGAGAGGGATCACCGAGGAAGGGAAAGGGGTTTTTCTTCTGAGAATCGGATGCCCTTTGTCAAGATCGAATTTCCCAGATTCAGCGATGGGGATGATCCAATTGAATGGATTTACAAGGCGGAGCAGTATTTTGATTACTTTTCGGTGCCTTCTGAGAAAAAGGTAAAAATGGTTTCTTTCCATCTGGATAGTGAGGCTCTGCAATGGTATAAATGGGAGGAATGTGCTTCTTCTTTGTCCAAATGGGAAGATTTTACCAGGGCATTTTGCAGAGAATTTGGCTCTCATGGGTTTGAGGATTTTGCAGAGTCACTCTTTAAGCTTCGTCAAACAGGTCCCTTAAAGGATTATATTGCTGAGTTTCGACGATTGGCAACTCGAATCCGTGATCTTAGTCCTATTTTTCGATTGAGCTGTTTCGTTGGAGGATTAAAGGAAGAACTCAAGCATGATGTCAAGCTGCTTCGTCCTGCTACAGTTCATGAGGCCATGAATTTTGCTCACGAAGTGGAGGCTAAACTTCAGAAGTTGAGGTATGCACATTCTGCTGGAAATTTTAAGTCAAGATTGCCTTTTTTACCCATTCAAAATGATTTAGTTCCTGCTAAAAATGAAGTTGCTCCTAGGAAGGATATGCCTGTCAAGAAATTAACCCCAGAAGAAATACAATATAAACGGCATAATAATCTTTGTTTTTATTGTGATGAAAAATTTGTGAGGGGTCATAAGTGTGCAAGGAAATAAATCTTGTTGTTGGATATGGGTTATAATAGTTCTGAAGAAGAGGAAATAGTTCATGAATTACAACAGATTGAACAAGTGGCTGAGGTAACTGCTTGTTGTATCACAGCTTGTGCTTTGTATGGTACTCCTGCTCCTCTTGCTATTAAGACTATGAAACTCACTGCTGTAATTAAAAACTGTCCGGTTGTGGTATTGTTAGACTCTGGAAGTTCTCATAATTTCATCGATCTTGGCATGGTTAAGAAGTTGGGTTGGAAGTTAGATCAGTCTCATATTTGTGATGTCATGATAGCTGATGGTGGACAAGTTCAGAGTAAGGGTTGTTGTGCTGCGGTTCCTTTAGCCATCGGGACTTATGTATATACCTCTGATATGTTTGCTTTGCCATTGGGAGGCTGTGACATTGTGCTTGGGGTTCAGTGGTTGAGAACTCTTGGTCCAATCTTGTGGGACTTTGAGAGATTAACTATGAAGTTTTGGCATGGGAATGAGCAAATCTGTTTGTCCAGTTCTAAGCCTCAGCCTCCACAGCCTATTTCTTGTCAACAGATGGACAAGTTGTTGCATTCAGGTTGTTATGGTGTGATTCTTTGTGCTGTAGAATGTGAAAATATGGCCAAACCCGCAGAAGATTTATCCTCACCACAACAGCATGAATTGCAAGCC